CACCGAGCGCCATCGGTCCGGACCGGCGTGTCCACCGAGGGTCGGCTTGCACAAGGTCTGAGCCGCGGGCGCTCGGTCGGCGCCAAGTGCAGTGTCACGCTCGTGCTCGCGCGTGACAAACCGGGGACCCTCGTTTCCTAGTCACTCGGTCCCCCAACGGAAGAGGCCTCTCTCCTATTGCAACTGGCCAACATCAGATTTGCCTCGTGCGTCCCTTTTTGAGCCGGAAAGCTATTTTCTTTTGGGTCCTGTGGGCACCCTAGCCACGCCGCCGTTTCTAAGCCTTTCCACAGCCCAAATCCACCCCACGCCGTGGTTTCTTATAGCTCCGGCCGGGGCACTCAAGCCAGAGCGCCGGCCCGAAGGATTTTTAGGTAAGAGGTAAGCTGCGGTCCGCGAGGGCGATGCCAGAGTCTGCCGCCGAGTCGGCTCTCTCCTCTCTGTCTGGATGACGGGAAGACGCACACACGCCTCCATTCACTCCATCCACTCAGAACACCGCAGACTTGGAAAGTGACAAGTGCGCGCGCCGCAGGCGAAGAGAAATTTTGACCCGTTCAAAATCTCCGGCTCGATGGCGCCCACACACACATCGCTGCGGCTACAGGTTTCCGAGCGCCTCATGTTGATCCCAGCCGACACCAAGAGCAGCACGACTGGCTACAAGAACGTGTCCTTCAACCGCAGCAGGGAGAAGTTCGAGGTGTATGCGCGGGATGGCGGCAAGCGAGTCCGCCTCGGCTACTTCGACACCGCCGAAGAGGCGGCCACCGCCTACGCTCGCTCAGAGTACGGCCGCGCCGACGCCGCTAAGCTGCTGCAGCCTCGCGCTGCTCCCACTGCCGCTGGCGCCGAAGTGATACGGCAGGCGGAGAGGGAGGGCCTCACCCTGGTCACCAGCAGCAGCAGCAACAGCGGCTACAAAGGCGTGACCTACCACGCGAAGGCGCAAGGCCGCAAGAAGTACTCGCTAATGGTGACGGCTGGCGGCAAGCAAGTCACCCTCGGCTGGTTCGCCACCGCCGAGCAGGCGGCGCTCTTCTACGCCCGCAGGGAGGCGGGCAGGGACACCAGCGATCTCACCGCGCCGCCGCCACCGCCGCCGCCACCCGCGCCTTCCTCTGCTGCTGGCGCCGAGGCAGTCCGGCAGGCGGAGAGGGAGGGCCTTACGCTGGCTACCAGTGGCAACAGCACTGGCTACAAGGGCGTGTCCTTCTGCCCGAAGCAGAGCGGCAGCAAGAAGTACAAGCTGGCGGTGAGGGCTGGCGGCAGGAAGGTTACCCTCGGCTACTTCGCCACCGCCGAGCAGGCTGCGCTCTTCTACGCCCGCAGGGAGGCGGGCAGGGACACCAGCGATCTCACCGCACCGCCGCCACCGCCGCCGCCCACCTCTGCCGCTGGCGCCGAGGCAATCCAGCAGGCGGGGAGGGAGGGCCTTACGCTGGTCACCAGCAGCAGCAGCAACAGCGGCTACAAGGGTGTGTGCTGCCGCCCGAAGGAGGCAGGCAGCAAGAAGTACATGCTGACGGTGACGGCCGGCGGCAACATGGACATCGCGAAGAAAATAAACGCCGCGGGAACCTGGAGCGCGGACTAACCCTCGGAGAGACCCGTGAATTACTTTACGGCCCTTTCCCTGCGAATGCGCGCCCCCCCTAGCTAGGGGTCAGGGCTCTCCGGCCGACTCGAATGAGCCGGAGAGGGTCAGTGCTCCCTCGAGCCGCGCGCTCGCTCTCCGACGTCCGAGAGCCTTTTGCAGAGAAATCTCCACAGAGCACAGTTCACGTCCACTCTGCACTCACACGTCTCACGTGCCAATAAACGGGGGCCTCCCCACCCCCCACTCGCCACAGCCGGCGCGCGGCGGCGCATGGACGCTGGGAGAGGCGGGGCCGCGCGCCGTGCATCCCCCTGGCGGCAGCGGGACGCTGAAATGTGGAAGGATCGTTGCGCCGACCCCACCACTGTGATCTCACAGCGGGCTGACCCCCCCCTCCCCCCACACCCCCACGGCCCACACCCCCCTCCAATGCCGCCCCCCCCCCCCCCCC